CCCCCCCCCGCCTGCAGGCAGAAACTCCCAATTCCCTACCCTGTTTTCCTCCTCTCTGGTGCTGAGAGAAAAGAGGAGGGGTGCCGGGGCTTTTGGGGTTACTCAGTCTCTTCTCCTCTGGCCAGCCATGAATGATACAGGGCCGTGTCATTTGTAGTAGGGAGAGGCTGTGATCGTCGCCGGGAGCTCCCGAAGCCCCTCCAGTGCGATTTGGGCGTGCGCCCTGTGTAAAGCGGGTACCGCTTCAAGGGGGCTGAGCGAGAGCGGATTGAACTGCGCTGCTCGTGGGGAAGGGATGTCTCACAGCCGGGATCTTTGTATGAGAGTGCAAACAGGCGATATTTCCAAGCAACTAAATCCTCCAGCACGAGTGTTAAATAACTGAAGGGATAGTCTCTGTTCGCTCATGCTCATTAGATCCACATAAACCAGATGCAAATTATGCTAAGATTCGATGAAAAGCTGTTAAGTGTCTTAGGACACTTCTTTGCCCCCTTCCTGTGCTCCCCCCAGCCACTCTTTCATGCTAGCCAGACCAAGCCCTATTTCCCCCCTTGCCACTTGCTGCAGAAACCTTTTTCTCATCTGCACGGGTTCTTTCACCGCCTTTGCCAGCATCTCCATCTCCTGTCAGCTCCTTATTGCTGTTCGCTATGTCGGAAACAAAGATGATAGGCTAGAAGACGAAGAAGGAAGAGAGCAAAAGAGAAGTTGAAATTACACAAGAAATAGTGGAAGGGAAAATATTTGGTGACAACCATTCTGTGGTAAAGCTCATGCAGCAACAGCTCCCGCCCCTGAGAGCATGACTGGAGAAGCCAGAGCTGTGAATGAAAGAAAAGAAGAAAAAAAAAAAAAATGGAGAGAAGACAAGGACAGACTTCTGAAGTTACTGCTCCCCTCATGCTAAAAAGCAAGCTGCAAAAGTCTTTTTGCAAAAAAGTGCAACTCTGGCTTCTAGCTTTCCTGTTCAGCAAGCCAATAACTGTTTAAATGTTACTTTTTTTTTTTTTTAAATAAGCCTAACAGATTCTTGATTTTCAGTTAAACTGATGACCTTGCCCCTCTCTATGAAGGGCAGTAGCACTGCAAACAGAATCCGAATGCTACACAGAAAAGGAGTATTTGTGTAGGAGCTTGTTAGTTACGCAAAGCGTGTGGTCTTTCTCTGTATTAGTTCTTGAAGCATTCAGCTGTAAGCAGCCACATGCAATTGTTCTGGTTTAATTTATTTAAAACAAGGAAAGCCACAACAAGATGTGAATGTGTTACCCTAGAGTATTAATTACAATCAGCCTGTCGTGAGATTAAAATGCCTGATTATATTTTCAAGGTCCTAGATGTGTTGTACAGAATTGAAAGGAGAATCCTGGACTTCGGTGAGCAGAAACTTCAGGAAAGAGGGGTAGCTGCATTAGGCAGTGGAAAGTGAATGTGAGGGCCCGTGTGAGGAGAAGGAGTGCTTTTCACTGGAAAGCGGTGACAGGGTGCCTGCGGAGGGGCAGGAAGGAAGGGCAGTTTGAGAAACCCAGAGGATTAAGCTTACAAGGCTGAAAAGTTTCTGTTACCCTTTTGCCACCCCCTGGAGTGAGAGGGGTATATGATGCTAATGCTATTCCATTAGAATTTAGCGTAGGAAGACAAAATCTTTGCTGCCTGCAAGTGGCCTCTTATCCAGTGCCCTTCATTAACTAGGTCAGTTTCCAGATGCAGCGAAATCAATGACACCAAGGAACTCGGCTCCTGCTGCATGCATTGCACATGCTTTTTGCCTTGCTGGCACTCAGCACAGTGCACAAGTACCCACCTTGCCCTTTTTCTTCTTCTGTACAAAAAGAGACAAATGGTTTTTTTTTTTAATAAGTGCTTTTAAACAGAATTATAGATTTTACTCAGATTATGCAGAGCTGATGGTAAAGTTTTGGTTTTTCTTTTGCCCTTTCTCACATTTATTTTTTGCATTCCTATATTTATACATTTTTTCCCCATTTCCTGTATTCATAGAGTTTTCAAATCTCCAAAAATGAGGGAAAATGCACCCAACAAGAAATTGCTTCCTGAAGGACAGAAATTGCAGGAACTATAGCAAAACTGTGTCTCATCTCATCCGGGGCTTTGTCTGCTTGAATAAAATCTCTGTTGTACCGCAGATCAGTGTTATCTGAAGTGGCAATTAAATTCCACCAGATCTGGACAGCTATTTTGTTATCATGACAGCAAATGAAAGGGGAACACTTCTGAGCAAGGTTTGATTGAGCTCAATTCTGTGCAAGAGCATTTCCTCTGATTTTTTTTCAAGACTAATTGTATTGTTAGCTCTAGTATATTCAAACAGAGATGTGCAAAACCCCAGGCTGAAGAGCTTGTCATGGATGTTAGTTTGAATCAGAGTACCATTAGGATCCCTTACCAGAAAGTATGTACTTCAAAATAAGGCACATTTTTCTTTATTAGATGAAATGCCAGTTTCACAAACAAAATATCTTGGAGCACAGAGCTAGGCCTCCCCTGGTAAATGAATAGTCTCCATTGATGGAGGCAAATACTTAGCATCCAGCTCCTTTATGCCAGGAGTAGATTTCAAATCTGGCAAAAGATTTTGGTCTGACCAAATCAGAAAGTAGTGTATTTAAAGCAAGCATTAATAGAAGTATCTCGATGAGGAAAAATGTAGGAATTTATGCTAAAGGAGCTGTCATGTGGCTGCAAATGGTTTCCTGCTATAGGTTTCCCTAGATGTGATGCTCCTCCTCTCCCTACCCCCATTCATGTACAAAAGAGGCCCAGGACAGCACTTACCGATGGACGCTCTGCCTCAATCATGTTTTCAACCTCCCTAGAAGAAAGCAGAAAGTAAATAAATCAGGAAAGTGACTGTTCCCAACGTTGCTTATTTCTGTAGTTGGTTTGTAGCAGCCACTTGAACTTTCCAAAGAGTCAGTGGTGTGGGCTGGCTTCCAAGCATCACAGCTGCAGGCTCTAGACATTGCTTTTTTCCCAGTTTGAGCTGAGCATCCCAAGTACCACTTCCAGGAGGGCTGCTGCCTGGTTCTAAAGAGCCTTGATAACGCTGAACTTTGACAGCTGGGAGTAGGTCAGGAGCTGTTTGGCCTTAGAGTGGCACTGGCTGGAATATGCTGAGCTTTGGCAAGCTAGTTGAAGAGCAGCATGGAAAAGAAATAACTACCTACTCCTGTGTTTCATTCGTGACTGAAATTAGATCTGGTTCAATGATCTATCTGGCCAAAACTTCAGCCAGTGGCATACAGCAATAAAAACTGAATGGGTTCATTTTCATTATTAAAAATGGCTAATGATATGTTTTCAAAGAATATTCTGCAAGTAGTAAGCTTCTCCAAAGACAATTCAAAGCAGGATCTTGTTAGACTATAAGAGAAGCTTGGGGAAATGAGTTTGCAGCTTGGAGTTTCTAATTACGTTAAGAAAATTAAAAGCAGGGTGTAGCAAACCAGGAACGTGACTGTAACAGACTAGCAAGCTCACCTCCGCCTTTATGGCCAGCTGAATGGATCTGCAACTTACTCTGAAAGACTTCTTTTCTCTGAGAAGACCCTCAGAATGAATTCTCCCTCTTGGTGCGGTTCGTATGTCGATGGGATGACGACGTACTCGCTGGGAGGTAACCGGAAGCGCTCAGAGATTTCTCGCATGTTTATATAGGTCTTACTTCTAGCTTTAGAGGCATTGTAGAGGAAAAAATCCTTTTGCAAGTGGTGCTTAGTGCCATGCATCTGCAGAACAAATGAGTCAATTTGTCTTGAAGGAAGTCTTACCCATTCCCCAGGTGGGTTGTTATGCAGGCAGTACACAACTGGCACAGAAAACACAAATGAAGCAGCAGCTTAGCAAGTAGGAAAGCTGACGAGGGATGCTAGATGGGAACAGACACAGAGTCTGTCACCTTTAAGTCACTGTTGGCTGGGTCTGGTTGGCTTCTGAGGACTGCTCCAGGGCCCACCTGCAGAGCATTGGCCAACTTCTGCTGTGTAGGCACTTTTGTCTGACCATTTCTTTGTATGCTAAGTTGCGTGTAACGAAAGATCAGCTACTTTCCTTGGAGGGTGGCATGGTAAGGAATGGTACATGCAAACTCCTACATGCAGTGTGATAAGGCAAAGGTGCTTTCAGTGGAAATGTGTCCTTGCCTGAACAAAACATGAATTCTGTATCTGCTAAAGAAACATAATAATAAAACGTTGCATTGGTTCAAATATGAAAACTAAGTCAAGAATTGTGGGCTAAGAGCACTTGTAAGCTGTTTGTTGCAGAAATAACCACCTGTAAAACAGTCAGTAAAGACAACATTCAGACTATCATCTTCATGTTTTCCAGCTAACATAGCCTTCAGGTGAGCTTGTTTGCAAAACTTGTGTTGCCAATGATTCAGCTACCAGCAGGCTTAGAAAAACTTAATCTGTGTACTATTAATACTTTTTCTTCAATGCCCAGAAATATCATTTGTTTTCCAAACAAATTCTGAGACTAAAGAGAAAACTCTGTGGCTGCAGGATACAAGCCCTTGGCATTATTTGCAGGAAGAAATGGAAGTGGTTTCAGGTGCTTCTGCATGGGGTGCAATGGCAAAGTGCTCACTGATGCTGCTTCCTGTGGCCCAGGCTCACTGACCGACCAGGTAAGCCATCGTCAGGTCTCGTAGAATAGAAAAGAAGGACAGAGGAAAAAGTGCAGGTGAAAATGGAATGCGAGTGAGAAAGAATTAAAAATTACCTGCAAAATGGTGCTAATGAACACTCAAAGCAGAAAGGTTAGCAGTTTCACTTTTGTTGTACATCC